ATACGACCTGTCCCAACATCATAGCAGGCGTCCGGCGGCATCCCTCCGGATGAAATTCGTCGCAGAGAGCAGCTCCCTTTTGGGTGGAACATTGCTCTATAAACTAATTACACAGCACCTATACGACTGTCCCCAAGGGCAACCACGTAGCCGTTTTTGAGACAAGGATAACTCTATCACTAACCAAACCAGTGGTAGCAGTTGGCATCTGAGTCAGATGACCGCTTGTATTACTTGGGATAAATGCAGGGGGTACCTCTTGAGTTAATAGCCAACAAACATTGGCGAATCAAAAGGTTCAGACGGCCTCCGCCGCCTGGTACCTTTACTACTCAAGCAGGAGTGACGGCGACTGAGTAACACCAAAGTTAACTCATAGTCACTCTCTCAAACTTAGTATGGAGCCTAAAAGGTATGAGTCGTCCGCCTGTTTTTAGCAAACAGGGGCTCTCAACCACTACTCCTGCTAGGTTAACAACCTATGAGTTAAAAGCCAACAAACATTGGCGAATAAAGGGGAACAACCGGTACCCACCGCTTGATACCTCTACTACTCAGTTACTTGGCGACTAGGTAACAATCATGTTTACTTGGTCACTCCTTAAAAATTTTAGTATGAAACTAAAAAGGTGTTCATACAACACCTGTTCACACTAGATTTAATATGGCGGGAAACAGTCGGCCTAGACGGCCTAAAGTCTCTAGCCTAAAAGCATGACAAGTAGGAAACAACTTTCCTACTTGCTTAAATTTTACAAATGACAGGACCGCCTGCCTAAAGGGGATCCAGTCTTTAAAATGGTTCGAATACCGATTGGATAAATGGCCGACTGATCGTCTAGCCTGGAAACAGACAACCAGTCGTCCAGGGGCATAGGCGGCGTGACTAACTATCCGTACCTGTTTGCAACTATCGGCCATGTAAAACAGTCGGTATAGTGTACAATTGGATATCAGAATATTCAATACTTAAACAAATTTGAAGCAAAACAAAAAAAAATCATTAAAAAGAAGCCGGTCATCAAAGACCGGCAAAATATTCAGAGCCCCGGCCCCCTGGCCGGGTAAATACAAACAAACGGCACGCAGGCCGTGGAAAGAAGACATAAAGCTTAAGAAGGGGGCAGATCTTCAATATTAGCAGTTGCCGCCTGGTCAGCACTCTTCTTGCTGGACTCGGCTTCAGCTGCATCCTTCTTTGATGCATTACCCCCAAGCGGCACAAGCGCCACTACCGGCTGCTCCTCCTCCTCCAACGCCTCTTCCTCAGCAGCCGCCAGGATCTCTTGATTATATCTATCAGAACACTGGCGGTACGTTTTTTCCCATGAGGCAAAGTCGGCATTGGGGAAGAGGCGGCCCCAAGTCATGCGCTGGATTTGAGCAGAGTCTTCCATCATCTCCCGGACCAGCTCTTTCTTTTCTTGCTCGGCCTTTTTCGAGAGCTCCTGAGTAAGACTCTTCTCCTGGGTCACCAGGCGTACCTTTACGCTCGCCAAGGATTTCTCCAAGGTTTCGTATGAGGACATCTTTCGGCGAACAGGTCTCAGCTCGGCCTTGAGGTTGTTGATGGTCGCCTCCAGCTCGCTATTCCTCTTCTGGGCCGCCTCTAACTGATCCCGGATAGCGGCGGTAGCCTGCGCCTGATAATAAAGAATATCAATGGTCAGAACTTCATTTTGGGCAATTTGAAACATTGCCTTATCACAGTCAGAGGCGGCCATAGCTTTTGCAGCCTTTACCTCTTTGTTCTTCCGGTCAAGCGGCTTGCGAAGGCCGTTCACTCGGAGCAGGGCCTAAGTAAAAAGGGGAACAGGCGTCAGTTTCCAAACAAAAAAGAAAACAGGCGTCCTGGAATTCAAATACTCAAAAATATGCTAAGTATACCTCAGCAAGGACCCCTGCAATCCCGTCTAGGTCAAGGGTGCCGACACCCCTGACCGCCTCCCTTTCAGCTGGAGGAACGACCTTGATCATAGACTTGGCCACCTCGACCAAGTCAGGCTCCTGAGGGCCGGCTGCATCAAGCATAAACAAACGGATTAGACCTAGTAAAGAAGGGAGAAAGTCTAAAATTTACAAGGATAATTTCATACTTCTAGGTGGCCTAGCTGGAGTTTTAGAAGAAGTGGTCGGCTGTTTCTCAGCCGCCACATGTTTCCTGGCAGAACCAGGAGAGCTCACAACAGTCGTCCTCCGGGCCTTGGGGTCCGGCTGTTGGGAAGAAGAAGCTCTTGGAGCGCCCGTCTAAAAAAGAAGAAAAGAGTCAGTATATGCATAAACACAACTCCAAAAAGAGGGTGAAAGGTTCGAAGCCCACCAAGGGTGCCCCCTTGTTGGGGGAGTCGGTTGAAGACTGTTGCATGATGGAGGCCCGCAACATGGCCGCCGCAGTTTTGGAGGCGGTAATTTTGCTCATGGCATCCGCTGCAAAAACAAATAGCAAAGTTAATAAAAGTCATAACAAGAAATGCATGGAACAACAAAGTATTCGACAGGCCGGCTACCTCTTGAGCACCGACTGCTGAGGCCACAGGCGGCCAAAAAGTACTCGTCGTAGAGCCATTTGAAGCTCGGGACGCAGTGCAGGGGTACTTGCTCTCGTACCCCTGAAGTAGAGTTCACCTTCGACTCTACTTTGAAGAGTCCTTTATCTAGGATCTCTTTCTTAGCCTTGGGGGGAACAGGCGGCATGCTGCGGCCGCCTGCAAGAAGGGGCGGATTCCTGTTCCACCTGTTGAAGCGCTTGTTCAGCTCTGTGTCTGAACTCTCAATGATAAGGAAGGTGCTCCGCTAGTCCTTCCATTTGTTTGCTTTACCTCTCGTCATGAGGTAGCCCCTGTGGCTCGTCAATTGATACCAGCCGGTACCGCCTGCCTTAGGGGTCCAGCTGAGGTAGTTCATGTGGGCGAAAGCCTCGAAGTTCGGCTACACCCCGTGCAGTTCGCACCCGGCCACATAGCCGAGTACGTTGACCCAGGAGTTCGGGGCTAACTGCCATAACCCCAACTCATACCCATCCAAGATCCGCTGAACAGCCGGATGTAGTGGGAAGCGCAGCCCAGCCTTGATGGCCGCCTCGTAGCAGCCAAAGCAGGCGCCATCATAACTGGTACCAGCCGGCCAGACGACTGTGTCTTCTGGATCCGGCACGAACACTAAAAAGCCGGGGCCCATTGTGTGGTTTGCGATAAAGCTCTCCACTTTCTCTTGCATGGCTGTGATCCGGCCCCGAGGTACCGTGCAGTAGTAGGGGGTATTTTGCTCTCGGTGAGAGGCGGATGGCTCCGCCCAATCGTCCCCCTTCTCAACTGCGTGAGAAAGCCTTGCCTCTTGCAGGCGACTGTTTTTCTCTTCTGTGTCCAGAGAAGCATGGCCAGAAGAGCTAGACTCGGAATCGTCCTCTGACGAGTCCGAAGAGGACGACTCCTCCCCTCTCCCGGAGGGGCCCGCCTCCTCTCCTTTAAAAGGAGCAGGAGAGAATGTAGAATTGTCAACTGTAAAATGGGAAGGGGTCACTTTGACTCCTCCCTCAGAACTGTCGGCTTTCAAGCCGCTTTGTTTCACTTCCACATCTGGCGCCTGGTCAGATGTTTCACTAATCGGCACCCTGTGGGAGGAGCCGTCTGAGTTTGAGATCCTGGCAGTCTTTTTTGTTCTGGCAATCATGCTCTGCATAGACACAGATATAGTCGGACTTTGTATAAAGGGCAAAGATGGGTCCAGAAAAGGGCAGGCGGCACTCCTAGTCCTAGATTCAGCCGTCCCCGGTGACCGACTGATCACTAACCTAGGTCGTGTCGTGTGCTTCCGTGGTGCCATTTCAAAAAAGAATAAAGTAAAGAGAAAATTAAGAGTAAGAGAACCGACGGTTACCTGAACGAGTGACGATTGATGAAGTTCTGAAAATCCTTTGCAGTCGGCTTGTCAGAGCAGGCGGTAGGCAGAAAGGGTCCAAAATGTCAGAGCAAGTTCAGGGGTCCGAATGTTCTCTCACAAAGTTTTCAAGTGTGAAAATGACCGAAGTCAACACTCCTTTATATAGGCGAAGTGAGAAGGCGAAGGGTCACTTCCAGAATTCAAAATTTTGGCGGGAGAATCTCTCGGCCTCTCGCCGAGTGACACCTGTAGCAGGTCGTCGCCTGTTACAGGGCGATACCTGTCACAGGTAACACGTGACCAGTCACGTGCCACCTGTGAGGGGCAAATGATTAGGGGATTTTTCCCCACCAATCACCATCTGACAAGTGGACCAATCAGGTTCCGCCATGTGTCCGTCACATGGGCCAATAGGAGCCTGCCACGTGTCAAGCAATGATCCGTCCACTATGGACCAATTACGACACGACACGTGTCCTTCCCATGACACCTGGGATAACCGGTCACCTAGGCCCAACTTCCGTGGGAAGCCCAATCAGCCCAAGGTTAACCTAAACCTAGATTGGCACGTTTCCCGAGGTTATAAATACCTCCCTTAATCCTCATTGAGGGAGATTACGCAGATTACACACATTAAACTCTCTCACCTAGAGAGACCCAATCACTTTAATTTCCGCATTAATTACTCCTTAATCAAGTACTAACTTGACCGTCGGAGGCGGATCTCCAATCATCCGGAGCATCCGTTTGTTTTGCAGGTACAGGCGTCCGGTTCCAGTCTCGGAATTGTAACTCTCCCGCAGGACATCAGAAAACCCCGAAACATCTATAACACTAACAAAGTAACTCTATAATATTAACGTCACACGCTATAGCTGGCCACATAAGAATTTGTGTTTAACAATATGATTCATGATATAATTTTTGTTAGTGTTGTAAGTAAATAGTGAAAAAAAGTCAAATGTATCAATTATATAGGAACATAGGGATTACATCATATATGAAGTGTGTATATTGACTATTTTCCGTATTTATTTCTAAGTGATCACTTGTAGAGAAATAATTAGGTTAATCAAAATTTAATAAATAAATTAAAACCAATTAGGGGGGAAAGAAAATACCAGAGATAGTGATAAACAGAAAGGCTAAGAGAGCCAACTTAGAAGTGGATGAAATCGATTGCTTCTCCATGATTTTTGTTTTTTTTTTTTTTTTATAATATATTACTTTGATTATATTGGAGATGAAGAATTATAACTCCGAATATCATCTATTTATACTAAAAAAATTCCATATTAATTAAGTAATGTTAAGTAATATATCAACCTCTAGTATGGCTAATCAAAACACCCCACCATGATAATTACTGGATTCAATTAGAAATATACTTCGTATCTATCTGCTGCATCAGCACGTGAAATCATTAATGCTAACTGAAACAAATTGGAATCATTTACTGTTTTAGAAGGTTGGGAATTGGGGTGATTGCCTAGAAGTTCCAACAATTAGCTTAACATAGTAATACCTCAGTTTCCAAAAACTACTTATTGCATTGTCATTTAATTGAACAACTATTGATTGCATTGTCATTTAATTGAACTTAGTAAATTTTGGTACAAGAAGTCTACGGAGTAGTATTTTGGATAGGAAATGGGATAATATTGTTTGGATAGAAATTATTTTAAAAACTTCTATTACTACCTTCGATTTTTAGTTGCAACTTTAGAATATTTTATATCTCTCAAATAATACCCTAAAATTGCAACTAAAAAAAATCGGTGGTAGTATGTATAATGAGCTTACATACATAAGTGACTTCTTCCAGTTTGTAGGATGTGGAACATCTAAGGAGTAAGGGTCTAATCTCATTGACTGAACTCAACTGAATTTATTAGAGCTGAACTGAACTCAACTGAACTGAATATTTAATTTTATAAGAGAAGGAAATTAGGAGCTAAACTGAACTGAACTTATTAGAGCTAGAGGACGGGTGATAAGAATCGATCCCACGATGTCCTGAAACCGGGAAGTAAGCTCTAACCACTTGAGTTATCCCTCACTCTCACTATACATAAGTTAAAGGTAATATAATTTTAAGGATAAGTAATATGAAGTACAAATTAACCTCTCTTTTTTTTCTTTCTTTTTTTTTTTTTTTTTTTTGAAAACAATAAGGGAACAATATTAACCGGTCCATCTCTTATTAATCTTTCCTGGCTTATGAAATCTTTTTGTGAGAGAAAAATGGTCAAAGCTAAAAAAATGGCCAATCCTTAGCTCTTTCCTAAAGTAAACTCTAATGTGCGTCCAAACCATTGTTGAGTTTTGAAGAAGCTTTCATTGGTTTTTATCGATGGAAAGTTGCAAAATTTTTCTAAGAAATTTTTGTAACTAAACTTTTTCTCTCTCAAAAGACAAATTTTCCAATAAACAAGGTTTATTTTACCGATCTCATACAAAAGACAATGTTTGTCTCCTCTTTTTAAGAGAGAGACATTTCTTATCTTAATATGGAATCATAAATCTAGTGGATTATTGTAAAAATGTTTTGTTGGTGATAAATTATGCGAGATCGCAATAATTAATTACCGATCTTTCAAATACAATCAAATTAATTAAATGAAAAAATCATACGGCTAAAAATAATCGGTAGATTATTGTCTCTCCAACTAATTACTCATTTACTCCCTCCGTCCTTTTATAAAATCTCATCTTTAACATTTATTACATACATTGTGGTGAAGGGAAACTAATTCTAGATAAAAGGACTAGTTCTTTGCCCGAGCAATGCTCGGATATTCATAGGGGAAAAAAACTATATTTATATGTGATTTACTATATTTTTGTGTTTGCTTATACATTTTGTATACATTTAATATTTTATTTATTTAAAGTTGTAATTGTTCAATTCTATTACTTTTTTGTCAAAAAAATCTATTATTTAGGGTCTATTCACATTTATCGAACCGAGCTGAGCTGAACTGAACATAATTGATTGGAGTTGAACTGAACTGATTGGAGCTGAAATGAGCTGAAATAAATATTTTATGAGAGAAGGAAATTAGGAGCTGAATTGAACTAAAGTGATTAGAGCTTAACTGAACTGAACTAAATTGATTGGAGCTGAACTGAACTGAAATTAAGTTGAAGTGAACAGGCCCTTAGGGCCTGTTCTCATTGACTGAATTCATCTGAACTGAACTGAACTGAGCTGAACTGAACTGAACTGAACTGAAATGAAATGAATATTTTATAAGAGAAGGAAATTAGGAGTTGAGCTGAACTGAACTGAATTGAACTGAACCGAACTGAATTGGACTGAACTGAGCTGAACTGAACTGAACTGAATTTCAACGGATGAGAACAGGCCCTTAGTCTGTATAATCCCTTTTTTTCTTTTTTCATCAATTATCTTAATGTATTTTAAGGAAAAAAAAAAGTTTTTGGCAGAAAATTGGAAAATTTGCAAATTGCAGCCATTTAAAGTTCGTATTTTGCAAATTGCAGCCATTTAAATTTATTTTTTTTTGCAAATTGCAGCCCAAAAGTTCTTATAAATTGTAAATTGCAGCCCGATTCAACTTTTTCATCGGTTTACAAGTTGAAAAATCATCGATTAAGGTTTTAGGGGCCATTTTAGCTCTTAAGAGTCCGAATTGAGCTCGGAATTAGCAAAAAAAATAACGCAAGTATCTCATTTTGCGTAATAAAAGTGTATCGATTTGTGGGAAACTGTAAATATGAGATACTTATGTTATTTTTTTCTGATTATGAGCTCAATTCGGGTCCCTAAGCGATAAAATGACCCCTAAAACCTTAACCGAAGATTTTTCAACATGTAAACCGATGAAAAAATTGAATCGGGCACTACAAAAAAATAACCTTTTCGTAGCGATTATTTTAACCTTTAGTATCGATTGTAATTGCAACAAAAAGCTTTCCCAACGAATGGTCATTCGATACAATATCCCTCGTTGCCTTAGCCTTTAGTAGTGGTTTTCAATATCGCTGGGGTTGGCCTCAATAATCGATAAGAAAAACTACATCCAATCGTGGTGATTATTGTAGCGATTACAATCGCTATAAATGTTTAACTCATTTTCTTCAAAAAAAAAACTTGTGTATGATCTTTACAAGATTTGAACATGCAACCTCAAATTCTTATATTAAATGTTTCACCAATAAGCTATGACATATTTTATGTACTCTTTGTCAAACAATATTTATATATCTAGTGTTGAAAAGGTTTTTCGTATCGATTTTTAGGATTTAGTGGCGATTGTAAATGATACGATTTCTCAAAATTATATAAATGTGTAAAAATAGTGTGGATATGTATTATTATATTTTCCGTATCGATTTTATATGGGAAAACCATGGCGATTGTAAAAATGATACGACATCCTTAGTTATTTCACAAACATACTTGCATATTGTAGCGAATGTACAATCGATACGAAATAATCGCTACGAAAAATGATTTTTCTTGTAGTGGGACAGCAATTTACAATTTATACGAACTTTTGGGCTGCAATTTGCAAAATACGAACTTTAAATGACAGCAATTTGTAAATTTTCCTAGAAAATTTTATAATATAAACATAACACGTGTAACTCTAGGCTATTCTGATAATTACTTTAGTATATACTCCTTGAGTACGTCTTTGTATTAATGGAGAGAGTACAGTAGTATTTATTTTTTGAAGGGAAACTAATTAAGTTGTTGATGAGCACACTGCACACCACTCCACACTTGCGTGTCTATCCTCAAGTCATCCATTGATTTACGTGTTGCATACATGTGTACTGACACTCGGGTTCCCGGGTAAAATCTTTTTTTTTTGTTGTGTTGATGGTTGATTATCACAAACTTTTAGTACTCCGGAGTCCGTAGCACATATTTATCCCTAATAGAAATCTAAAATCATATAACTAATATATAAAGCTAAATTTTTAGCCAGGTCACAAGACTGCGACACTTGGCGTTCTAACTTTTTTCGTCAAGTGTCACGCCACATTAGATAGATTTAAATAGACCTCATAAGATAAAAAAAAAGTTAATTTAGAATTCCATTTGGATAGAATTTTAGGATAAAATTAGTTTTATTTTCGATAAAATACCAATATTTCAAATGTACAAATTCAATTATAATTTTATTAAAAAAATTATTAGATTATAATTCTTAAAAATTAATAAATTATTTTTTGTATCATAATATTTTTTTGGGCAATCTTAAAATTCAATAAACAATCCGGGCATCGCACGGTCACAAAACTAGTATATACATAAAGGGGAGTTTTCCCCCGAATTTTTAGAGAGTCGCGTAGGATTTAATTTTCTTAGTGCTCCATGTAGGATTATAAATTTTAGTGGTAGCCAATTAAATAAGAGATTATTAATTTCTTTTACAATTAAATAATTCAAATGCCACTTAAGCAAAATTGGCGAATGAGATTTAAAATTTAAATTAATAAAATACAAAAAATTATCTTTTGAGATTAGGAATTTTATCTAATATTTTAAAACTAATATAATAACAATTTTAATCACATAAATATGAAAAATATTTTTTAAAAAAAATACTAACAAAACGTGCATCGCACGGGATTCATCTAATATCATATATTTAAAGACAATATCACACGATGAGAGATATATAAATGATTAATAATTTTAATTTATATATTTAAACTCCCCCCATTCCTTTTTATTCTCTATAACTTGATTTTCACGGTGTTCAATGCACGTACCTAAACACTGATGATTCTAATGTAGTCTTATGATTTTTTATTACTATAATTTTTAAAAATAAGCGATTGTGATTATTTGAATTTTGATTTATTTTTAATAAGTAATTTTAATTAAAAATAATGTTTAAATTATTTTAAATATATTGTTATCTTTTAGAAATTATTTTTTAATATTTTTGAAATTTTGGAAATAAATAACTTTATACGAAGTATAAAATAATTAAAAAATGATTTTAATTAAAGTTACCAATAACTAAAAATAAATCAAAAAATAAATCATCTCAGGCATCTATTTTTAATAAATTGTGATAACGTAGACAAAAGTCATAAGACTACATTAGAATTTTTACCTTAAACACATATATAATCAATATGATATGGACAAAAAAAAATACAAAAAAATAAAATAAAATAATATTTTAAAAATAAATTTTAAAATAAATCTAAAGATAAGATGATTGAAATCCTACATACTATGGTTTTGATCATTATACTTCCTCCGTTTTTTTTTATTATTGCACCATAAGGGTTGGGTGCAAATATTTTGATAGTGGAAAAAAGTAAGAGAAAGAAAGATAAAAATACAAAATTGCCCATGTAATATATTGATAAACTAAAAAGTAAGTGTGAAAAAGCACGGGTATGTTGGGCATTTGTAGTGTGAACACAAATAATTTTTTCCTAAAAAGGAAATGGTGCAATATTTGTGAAACTTCCTAAAAAGGCAAGTGGTGCAATAATAAAAGAACGGAGGAAGTAATATAATAGACTAATAGTGAATTTTTAACGTCAAGAGTTTATAAAGTTGAACCTAAATAAAGGAAAATACAGGATTATTTTATATGTCGCGCTGAATTTATAATGAAAAGAATAATCCTACCAATAATACTATATAAAGAGAAAAGGTATTTTGGTTAATAAATTTGGCATTCCTCAAAATACCCCTCTGAAAAGCAAAATTACGTACGAAGTATGTTTTATCCACAATTAAATATTAAATATTTTCCCAAAAAATTACTACCCCTAGCTTATTCATGTTTTACAAAAAAAACAAAAGGGGTTTTATGTACCCTCAAAGATTTGACTTTTATCAATGGTGCATCTCATTAAGTTTTCATTATCAGCGGTGCCCCTAATATTTTCACATAATTGCTACAGTGATCATAATGTTATTAAAACGTTTACTAAACGTTAAGTGTGGGTATTTTACAAGGAATAGGTCAGCAATTGAGTTGACAAAAATGCCCCCCCCAATCATTAACTCTCCCTTCAAGCCCAACTAATTTCATTTATCACAAAAAAAAGGCAAAAAAATTTGATCGTTCAACTTCTTAGCTCCCTCCTTTGCTCAGAAGCTCCATAGAATCCCTAATTGAAGCATAAATTGTGGAGAATTGCTTTGACAAATTGCGGATTAAGGTTAGTACTCAACTTCAATTTTTATTTTGTAAATTATTTGGTAAAAATTCTTATGTTTTAGGGTATTGAATGGATTTTTTTGGGTGTTCAATTATGAGTTAGAATAGGGAATAATGATGTAATGTTGTTTGATTTTGATTGAATTCATTCTAGAATTCATGTTAGAGTTAATGACTGGGGGGCATTTTTGTCAACTCAATTGCTGACCTATTCCTTAAAAAATACCCACACTTAACGTTTAATTAACATTTTAATCAAATATGATCACTGTAGCAATTAGGTGAAAATATTAGGGGCACCGCTGATAATGAAAACTTTAATGAGGTGCACCATTGATAAAAGTCAAATATTTGAGAGTACCAATGATAAAATCCCAAAACAAAAACTATCCTTAAAACAGTAATTTATGTTACATAGAAAAAAAATACCCACCAATAAAAAAAACTGATTTTGAACAAAAAAAAAAAAAAAACAAGATAAAGAACATATATATCACCTTTTTTAGTTAAAAAAAATAAAAAAAATAATCTCTTTAATCATAACTAAAGGCTTGTTCACATTTACTAAACTAATATGAACTGAACTGAATTGGACTGATTGGAGCTGAACTGAACTGAACAGAGCTGAAATGAATATTTTATGAGAGAAGGAAATTAGGAGTTGAAGTAAACTGAACTGAAATTAAGCTGAAGTGAACAGACCATAAGAGGATCACACTACGTGTGTACCTCTTAGTTTGTATATATAAAGTGAAAGGGCATTTGGGTGATAAATTTCATTATCCCCAAATTACCCTACTCATTTCTTCTCTTTTTATTAAAAAAATAATTGTTTTTTATCAACAATTTTTCACTATATTTTTTTTCTAAAATCATAATACAGAGGATACCATTTCTAGAAAAAAAAAAAGTAGATAAATCAAGCATAATAGATTTTATATTGCTCTTAGCTTGTTTAAATAAATGGAAGGTGCAAGAGATATGATGTGAATACGCCATCGGATTCGAATTATTTTCACGTAGATTTATGATAGTAAAATATTAATTGCGAGTATCGCAAGGTCTTTAAAATAATATCGATTAGTTAATTTAACGTGATTGCAATGATTAAATAATAGGGAAATTAGTCATCTCTTAATTTTTTACAAATTTAGTGAATAATAAGTAGTACTACTATATATTCCCTCAAAAAAAAAAAAAAAAAAAAAGTAGTACTACTATATATATTCTGGGTTCCAATTCTTTATCATCATCAGTTAAAATCATTTTAAAAGTGCAAAAGAAAATCATGGCGAATCACTTACTTTCGTTCACTTTGAAGTTTGCTCTCTTAGCATTTTTTATGCTCACTATGGCTGGTATATATATATTTTTTTTTCCGTCTTTTAGCTTAATTGATTAAAGTCGTCAAAAGCAATTATTGTAACATGGTATCAAGATCCAGCGTGTTGAAATCTTGGATTAATTAGTTTCTGCTTCATGAGTACTCGTGTTAATTATTTAATTAATTACTCCGTATATACTTATTATGATTTTTAATTTTTTTAAAATGTTGCACACAGGTCCTATGCTCGGCAGGTTGCAACCAACCACCGAGACAAACCCGGAAGTTATGAAGGCTATAATACATGAACTCGGAAAGGAACAACTTGCTGCTTATTATGGCTTGGACGAACCAAAGCTGGCAATGGTCGTAGAGCCGTCCCCATATTGCAGCAGGAAATATGGGCTTTGTCGACAGTCGTCAGATTGTTGTGAAGGCCTTACGTGTAAGCGGATTAAATATCCAGATTGGGCTTGCTCGTAAGATCGATTGCATTGCCAATGGTACGGTACTTGGGATCGGAGTATTTCGATCTATAGTTGATGTAGTAGCTTATTTCGAATTTGTAGTGTGAATGAAGTCTTGTGTTAGGACATATGAGGGTGAGTAATGTATCATATACGTGCTCTATCTTATTCCTAGCATGACAAAAGTACTATCTAACTAGCTATGTGTTGTATTTTGTATTTGATACGTACTTAGCTTGAATAAACGTACATTTATGTAGTTTCGTTTACTTTGCATCAATGATTAATAAATCTGAACGGTTTTAAAAGAAGAATTGAAGTGTGTTTCATAATTTAGATGATAGAATGACAAACATGTAAAACCTCTCAACAATATTGATCATCAAAGATTCCAAGCTAACATTCTTTCTTCAAAATCAAATTGCCAATACAAGTACACAAGTTTTACATGCCTTTTATAATTATAAAATTACATGTATTTCTATAAACAAAAAGTAGATCAATGATTCAAATTCAAGTTATAAAATATGTTGGACCAAAAATTGGAAATGTAAGGTTTTATGTTACTGTTAAAAACCTTGCAATTCCTGTCCTTTACTTATTGTATTTGCACTTTTAACCTTTAGTAATTTGTAATAATAATATTTTAGATTTTTTTTTTGTTGTTGTTGTTGTTGTTGTTGTTGTTGTTGTGTTCTACATATCACATATGCCTTCTTTTCTGTTGTGAAATACTACTCTTTCACCTCATCTTCCTTTACTATGTATTTTGATTCAATGATTCCTAACCTCGTACTTGAAACCTAAAGGTGAACCAAATAAGATTTATAACACTTTATTCGAATTAAAGAGTAAAGTGAAATCACGAAATAAATGAAGCTAGCTTATTTTAAAACATCTTCACAACACGATCGAGAAATATAGTCTGATTACATTCTTACACCCAATTATCATTTCTCCTTAGTACAAAGCTACAATTTTATCTACAGGTAAATAACAAGTTGACTAGGGCAACTTCCTCAAACCCTTTCCAGCCTTTCAAGCACTCAATGACAATGTTTTCCTAAACAACCATCTCATTTTATAGTACAATCCTAGGTGATGCCACAAATACACAATGCCTTGTGAGATCAAACGCTACGACTTCAACCTCAGGGCTGCGATTACTGAAAAATTGGACTGTCTTCTTTATGTAGAGTCCACTCCTTCACCCTGCTGTCTAGCAAGGTATCTCTCTCTTCTCTCTTTCTGTAAAAATGCATGACAAGACAGAAGTTGAGCATATGGGTGCAATACCAGCTATGAACAAATTTCACAAAACCAGAATTGTGTTCTATTATAACTCACCCATTCATCTATAACAAGTCCTTCACCAATGATCTTCGGCCCAGTGTCCTCTGGTGGCTTCTTCCGTTCTTCAAGCTCTGCCTCTGCCTCCGCTAATTGGCGCTTCAATTTTTCAAAAGCCTTGAGAAACAGAACAAAAGAATGCAAAAAACTGCTTTAGAGACAGACCATGTCTGTAGCGTCAATTGTGCTTTAGTCAAAACGTGCACATTTATGTGTTTTCTGTGTGAGGTAGAGCAGATTATAACTAGCCAGTCAAAGCTCAAGCTGGGTTGAGGCTGCTGTTTTTTCAGCCCGAATTGCAGCTAAGGATGGCCTAAAATGGAAGGATTTTTTTGGGGTGTGGTACGGCCTAAGAATTGCTTTTTAGACTACTTTAGAATTAAGCTTGAGTTTAACAGGTTTGGGCATTATTTATTGCCCAAACGTGGTTCTGCTTAACCATGATCAGCTCTAACAGAGCACTTTTGTAGTTTAACAAAAAGAAAACAGAGCACTTACTGCACAGGGACGCTCTGTGTCTAGAAATATAACACGCAGTATCTGTTCTATGGCTACTTGATCCTTCTGCTCATCAAACTGCATAAAAGAGAAAAAGTGATAAACAATTTGATAAGATACACAGTTTTATTTAAATATTACACGAAATGGACGCGGAAGGAAAAAAACGTTCAAGAAGATCTAATCATAAGGCTTCCTTGATTTTAAAAACCTGAACCAGCATAGCAAACAATCCCATACAACATATGAACAAAGTACATGAGAAGCATTGCTCTGGCAAACTAAGCTTACAGAACCCAATTCACTGAATAGTATAATTAGAGACAATCTAAATCAAGCTTTATACATTTGAAAATATTGGGAAATGAAACTAGGACTTTGCTGTTTAATTTTGTACTTAAACGAGCAAGTGTTATGATGTTTATGGTTCAATTTTATTTTAATGTTGTATGGTTTGCTGAGCATAAACTTTTCCTCTTTAACATTTTCTCCATTATACTGGCAATGCTATTCAATCTTTCCTAGATTGGAAGAACCATGTTTGATTTGGATAAAGCAAGTACAAAGCTCTAATGGCCTACACATTTCAATTTAGTGTAACAGTATCTATCCATAGAAGCAACCTTCAAGGCTCAAAAAATTATCAAAGCCGGCACCTTTCTCTCAATGGAAACAAGCCACAATAGCTTGATATTCAAACTTCACCTTCTCTCTTAAAAAAAAAAAACAGAAAATATAAAGTTTGGAGCTCACATTTGATCTTTGTGTGAGACAGTGAAAGAAGCAAAAGCAGTTTTAGAGAATCAAAAAGCCTAAAATTTAAACTTGGCAGTAAATGAAGAAAATTAAAGAGAGGAATCCTCCAAGTTGAAGAAGCAGCAACGAGAATGAAGTACTAGGCTTAGTACAAATAGGAACCCAGGCTTATGAATTACTACTAGCTTACAGGAGGAAAAAAATAAGGTACACAGAGATAAGGGAAGAGAAATTACGGGAGTAAAAAAAAGGAAAATGGATATAAGGGAAGAAGAGAATAAGAAAAATACACAGGACAACTAGAGTGTCATTTATGTTCAACAAAAAAGGGGGAAAAAATCAACTGACTGAAAGTTGCAGTTGACCTTTTTAGAGTGAACTACATTCAGCATGTTCATTAAAAAAAAAAAAAAGAATTACTACATTACCCAACAAAGAAAAAAAATGTTTCACAAAATCTGTCTATGCCACTGGATTCTGCACAATTTCGGGAAAGAGGTCAATGGTCAGACATTTTAGTCTGTCCTAAACCTGCTGATCTGAGAGAAAAATCACACAAACTATTCAATATAACATATCCCATCAAGATAAGAGCACCAAACAGCAATTTCAGTCTTTGGACCCTTTAAATTTAAAGTAGCTATATATTGTAATAAAAGAAATGGAAAAACATCTTCAAATGTAAAACAGTATAGACGTACCATTTCAGGAACATATTCCATCGGTCCTTTCACCTTTAAGCTCATGATTTTGAACTTCACCCTGCTCTTCTGCTCTAACAAGGGCTTTTCATTGTTCTCTGGATGCTCAACGAACTTAAAAACTAGCCGAATCCATGTACAACAAAAAGAATACTGATTAGATTCCAATAAATAAATAAATAACACTAGCTGCAAAGATATGAGAAAAAAAATAGTAAGGGATTTATACCAGTCGCAATGAGGCTCTCGCCAGGAGCAAGAATAGCTCCTGGTGGACGCATAAAACAACTTTTTGGAGCAGTTGTTTGAAACTGAAACAAAGAATTCAATCATGAGATATTGAGATTCATATTTTGGCTTAGAAGGACTTGACGACTCACCACACATAAACCACTAAACAGTAGCACAATTACCAGATCCAAAATAATTGCAGCAAAAGGGGTACAAATCTGTTGCCTGTAAAAATGTCAAATGACAATCTATTCAAAGTCAGCATCCATACCTTGAAAGCTGCGTGAGACTTGCTTGTATTTTTAATCTTTATGGCACTCCTAACCTGCTTGCCAGGTTCATCTGTAAGACGGACAAAGTGGGCGTTAGAGCTACACAGCTTTCCACAAAAACATAAATATTAAACTAACAATTACATAAAATTGGTCTATATAGAAAAAGAAACAACCTCTCATCCCTTCCCCATTTAAATGTTCCTCCCATTCTTTATCTCATTTCCATCTTCCCTATCAAGCTCTCCCTTCCACAAAACCCCAGCCCTGAGTCACTATTGAGCTAGCAATCAGCATTTGCATGCAACCCTGGATCTCCTATGAAGAGCATCAGTGAGCTTCGCAGCACTAAATACAGCGAGGCTCACTCAGGCCATATTGAATCTATCATGAACAGCCCTCCTGCACTTCCCCCCTCAATCCTAAGACCCTAACAAACAGACCACGGTAACTTTTATGTAACAGTAAAATGTGGGTAGTCCAACTAATTGTGACCACTGAAGATAAAAAGAGAACTACTTAGTTATCAGATTAGGATGCAAGGAGCTCTCAACGAAGATAAAAAAAAACAGGTTAAACAGCCACCTTTAATGAAGTTATGGGCAGTTTGCACTTTGCACATCTAGTCATAGAAACTCCAGAGGGGTTTGGTTGAAGTAATGTTGGCTTTGAGATATTTCAGTGTAGGAAGTAGAGAGAGGTTTGGTTTAAAAAAGTAACGAGTAATGCTTTTCAAGGACATCATTGGTATTCTCAAATATGAACGTATACACTTCTTTCCTATCAACAGAACTCATAAAGAATTTTCAAAATCTAATGCAAGCCTTGCACATACACCAAGCATGCATGGAAAATTGCACATATGCATGGCATTCACCAATAAACAGAACTTAGACACTTCTGTCCTAATCAACAGAACTTATAAAGAATTTCCAGAATCTAAAGCAAGCCTTGCACATACACCGGCATACATGTAAAATTGCAGATATGCATGGCAATCACCAATAACCCTAGTAAACACATCACACATGCACGCAGTTACACAAAGTGAAAGAGAGCATAGAAATACTCAAATGCCCAGATAAAAAAAATTTAAATATATATATATATATATATATATATATATATATATATATATATATATATATATATATATATATATATATATGGTGATAAATCTGAATACTGAATTATGAGCACAACTCAAGATGAACGAAGAAGATAACTTTTCAGACAGCATAGTGATTAATGAGAAGTTTCCAGCAATAGAAACGAATCTTTGCATCAAGATATACGTTGCCAACTTGCCATAACTCATCGGTGTAGATCCTAATCAGAACGAATAGCAGGCCATCAGAGAAGGCCCTATACCCTGCTACAATTTTACTGTGGTGTGATTAGGGTACTTAGTAGGTGAAGTACCCATCAGGAAGAGCGAA